GGTTGCCATAAGTTGGAGGTGACTTCATGGGACATAATAACAACATATGAGGCAAACTAATCATGATGAAAATTAATTCCACAAATGTTTGTTGAAAAAAAACATAATATTTTCCCACAGACATTGCATGCTTTTTGCACTCATGCACCCATGAACGCTCCTCTCTACCCATTTATCGATCTCCATAGCGATAACAGTTTGTCATCTCCAACAGCAGGTATAACAACTCCGATGAAAAGCAATTGAAAGAATATATTAATTCTTTCTGAAACAAGGGCAGTCTTCAAATATGGACCTCAAAGGTGTACTATAAAGTGTGGTCAACAATTTTCAAGCAACTCGTTTTGGCATTTACCATATTTTTCCATGTATAAGACAATACTTTTATCTAAAATCTTTAGACTAAAAATTGAGGGCCATCTTCTAAATGGAAGTAAGGGGGGAAAAGGGATCGAAGCGCTGAAGGATTGCAGCCCTTTGATCCTGCAGCCCTTTCATGGCTGCTTTACCCCTCCACTTCCTAAGACCCATGGGGCTTAAGAAGTGGATGGGGAAAGCAGCGATCAAATTTTCTTATTTGAGGTTGGAAAAGTGGAGGTCGTCTTATACATCAGGTCGTTTTATACACAGAAAAATAAAGTCAATTGTGTCTTCACACAAATTATAGTCTGACATCCTTCTTCCACTAATTTGGCATTCCCGTCTAAAATGAAGGGGGAAATTATCAGCAAATCCTTTCCTTCCAGTTAGCAAACACCATTATAATGAAAAATGGTAACTTGGAATTTGAATTTGTGTACTTCGATCTGTTACATAAGCTCCTTGGGTTTATCAAAAGTTGTTAATTAATTTCAAAATGCTAGCATGTACTTTTAATAGCCTTGATTTGCTAAGGATTCTTCAAAGAGCAAGAAATACAGTTCTGTGATCTCTTGATATATAGTATAGCACAGTCTAGGCTACCATAACTAAATTAACACAGTCCTGATGACTCAGCTATCCACCACTGTCACCAATCACTGACGTTTGAGCAGGAGCTGGCGATGGATATTTTGCTGTCATATGAAGGTAATTTACTGCTCACACTGTCTTACAGATTAACCTTGTGCAGTTCTAAGTCGCAATTTGAAGGCGCCCAAGATTGATCCCCTCTCAAGCATGAAGCTCAGACAAAGTAGTTAAATATGAGCTAGGGTAGTTTCTTGTGAGTATATAGGTATACAGTGTTCAACATAATATTTCACTTTTCACTTAATGTTAACAGCTGCTTAGCATACTATTTCTGCAGTATATAGTAAAGCTGGCTTTATTATTTCTTTGCCTTTGAAAAATCTTTCTGTTGGGATCAAACAGGTGTACTACCTTGCTGTCTCATGATTCTCTGCTTCATCTTAATCCAACTTGATTTCCTATTTTAATGTCTCTTATTGTGTGACTTTGAGAATATAAGCACAGAACCAGCCACCCTGCTCTCTTTCTACTGCCCTTTTCTCAGTCTTCAGTTTCAATGTTTTGTTTCCTTATTTTTCTCTACAAGTTCTCACTGCATTAAGTACGGATTAGAACTGTGGCAACAAGTACTGTATATCCAAGACTTGTCAATCGTTTGGTGAACACTATCACAATTGATTTTAGATTTTTTTTAAATTATTTATTTTATTTTATTTTGCTTTGAACAGGATAGATTTTTAAAAATTCTTTATTTTATTTTATTTTATTTTGCTTTGAACAGCAGTGATGAGGAAGGCTTCGGCACAACTTTGCTTAGTGGATCAGTTACAACCTTTCCTGACTTGAGTCATATAGGCCTTCGTTATATAGCATTTTGACTACTGTGAAGCAGGGCCGCCCATGAAGACGGTCCAGAGCAGTGACGGCGAACCTTTTTGGGGCCCGAGTGCTGAAATTGGGGAAGAAAAATACCCACAAGTGCTGAAATTGGGGAAGAAAAATACCCAGGGCACACCGACGAGTGACTTCTCCTGGGCTGCCCCAGCTTGTGGAATGAATTTGTGTTATTATCATGATTCATTTCCATCCTCATGCTTTTAGTAAGCACCTCTTCAAACAGGTATTTGAAACTTTTTACACATACTGAGCATGATTTATGATAATACTTTAATGTTTGTATTATTCATTTGGTTGTCAACTTACATTTAACTTATTTTTCATACCTGTAAGTTGCTATTTGAGTCCTATTCCTTAACAGGAAAGAAATAATAGGAATAATAAAAAGTAAAGGTTCCCCTTGACAATTTTTGTCCAGTCGTGTCCGACTCTAGGGGGCAGAGCTCATCCCTGTTTCCAAGCCAAAGAGCCAGCGTTTTGTCCGAAGACAATCTTCCGTGGTCACATGGCCAGTGCGACTTAGACACGGAACGCTGTTACTTTCCCACCGAGGTGGTCCCTATTTATCTACTTGCATTTTGCATGCTTTTGAACTGCTAGGTTGGCAGGAGCTGGGACATGCGATGGGCGCTCACTCCGTTGCATGGATTCGATCTTACGACTGCTGGTCTTCTGACCCTGCAGCAGACTTCTGCGGTTTAGCCCACAGCGCCACCACGTCCCTAATAAGAATAATATAGCAGTTGTATTCTGATTTTGATAGATCTCCATGATAGAATTCCACTAGAATTGTCAAAATCCTGTTGCGAACATACATCTGAGGCTTCATTAGACAGCCGCAGCCAGTGCAAAATATAATCAACGAGAGCAGTCATGTATTATCTTATGATGCTTCAAGACAGAACCCCTATGAGTGTCAGAATAGCAGGTGATAAAATTTATACCAAGACAAATATAGCAAATGCTTTCGCAAACAGGGATTCCACTCTGATGGCAGGCATAAAAAAGAGCTGCTTGGCTTAAAACGCTAAGGATCAGTCACGAGTACCAAAATTGTCTTTCACCATTAGACATATTTCAAAAATTATCTATGTAATTACTTATTGGCCCATGGTAAAAAATGGCTTTCTTTAAATGTTTAAATATAAGGACAGGTTATCTCACATAAGCACTGAAAGGACTATATCTTTGATTCTTTCAACATAAGTACGTATGTGTATTTACCAATTGGGAGACATACTAAATATCAATACTGTGGTGTCTTATCCATATTCTATGGCCAAACTGTACTAAAATCTTCTTGATTATAATACACTAGATTTTCAAAATGTTATAACCATGGCTCACTGCAGGATCTGCACTTCATGAAATCACATGGTGGTCAATGTTTTCACTATTTCATATGACTTACTAGTACTCATTTTTAAAAAAGCATTCTGAATGGTATGCTGAAAAGGGATAACTGAGTCCTCTAGCTAGCTGATGGATTGTGTATCTCTGATCATCCTGCAAATTCAGACTCAATATGGCTGGTACTTAGAAGAGCAACAGAGAGGCAAAATCTGATCCCCTTCCCCTGTACATGTTATGCAAAAGATATAGCATTTGTTTGACTATAAAATATACACAACCATTCATACATCAAAAGTTTGAAAGACAGAGATTTCTCCTAAAGTATCATAAGAAAACAATCTAAACGAAACCTTACAACATAGAGTAAAAGTCTTCTGCTATTATACAGGTTTGCACATAAACACAGGTATTGCAAGAAATAGAAGTCAACCATCTGACAGCCCATGAACGCTCTTTGGCAAAGATCTTTTAGAGTTTCCACCAGCAATAATTCAATGAGAGAAGATTGCCTCAACAGAATGGACAAAATGGAATATTTCACATTATCGTCACTGCCTGTTCTTTAGCTCAGCAATTTTATGGCTCTCACCTCACAATAAACCCACAGCTACCTTTTATTGTCATTTACACTCAAGCCTCTTATCTGTCACCTGATGAAACATAGCATCTATTTATGCCTCTTAGTGTTATACCTGGGAAAGAAAGACAAAGTCAACTACATTTGACCAAATGATAAAAGCAAGCAAGCAGCTTAAAATGCAGTTGCCTTTAACTCATACATAAAACAGCAATATTAAGACACCCGCGTTTCTTTCCTTCCTTCCTTCCTTTAATAGTTCACATTACTTTCATGCTAAATAAAATATGCTTTTTCATTCATTTCTTTTCCATTCAGTTTTGAACACCTGAATGAGATGTGTGTGAAGACGGACAGCGCAAAATCAAATTACGGTGTCCTTTAAGCAAGACAAACCTAAAACACAGAAAGAGAAACCACTTTTTTTGGATGCATGGCCATTTCTGTTCATTTTTCTAAAATACATATAGAAAATCCAAGGAGACACACATTCCTTTCAGGAAAAACCACTGTGTAATTAATTACGATTAATTTCCAGTAGAAAATGTCATGGTATTCCAGGGTAAATGCAGCCTTTGTCAACAAGAGAAGAAACTGCAGCAGACTAAATGATAAATTCCTAATATGTGTTCAGGATATTGCAAATATTTCACCTTCTGCACTGCTATAAAGATAGAAATTATTCAGCAGCTGCAGGGAACCCACACACTCTTCTCTCTTAATATGCCCAATTAGAACTTCTCCTCCAACAATATATGTGCTTTCGGGGCAGACGTACAAAATGTGCAAAAGGCTCAGAAACAAAGCTTCTAGCACCACTAATCACCCCTCTTCCTAAATGGTGCTGATGGGAAAAAGGTATTGTCTATATCTGCCCCCCTTTTAGGGAATGATGAAAGATAACGAAGCAAATGAGACACTAAAGTAAATTGGCCACACACCATTTTCCCCCCCTAAGGAGCAAAGAAGCTTACACACCTGGTTCCCAGGTCATAATTTACAGAGCCAGGTTCCACAGATGAAACTTTTCTGCCTTCGCACCATTCCATGGAGCACGAGTCCCAAAAGGAAAGAAATGTCAAAGGCTCTACATTATTTATATTGACTTTCATAGGGTCAGAACTGCCAGGGCGCAGCAAAATATATTCAGCTGTAACGATGCATGTACAGTGATTTGAGTCACATAGGAGGAAAGTCTCAAGAGGGAAAAAAATTCACTTACATTATTCATGTATTCACTCAGCAAGTCTTGGAGGGCCTGGCGTACAGCATTGCACTCCGCAACAATCCTCTCCCGCCGGTCATCACGTGTGCAGGAGGAGTCTGCCATGAGCGCTGCACCGCTGATGATGCTCTCCAGCCTCTCTTCAAGAGACGGTCGAAATCGGGCTTCGCTGAATGTCATGGGGTCTAAAATGATCTTGTTCTGGGGAAAAAATTAAAACATGATCAATTAAGAGCCTGTTTGTTTTCTTATTGTTGTTTATGAGCACAGTTAGCTTGATGGACATATTTCTTTACACGTCGTAGATACTAACAACCCTTTAAAAATCAGTGATGCTTATAACTGCTTTTAGTCTAAGCAAACTGTACAAATTATTGCAATACTCTGGGACCTCTGAAATGGGAAGCCTTAAAATATCTCACTGGTCTCTAGCCTTTATTGAGAGAGTAGCCCAAGGAACTACAACTCGCAGGAAGGACCACAGCAGCTCTCTTTTTTTGTATAGGAAATGCCTGAGACAGTCATGCAGCCTCGGCGATCGGCCCTTCTACAGGTAAGCAAAATGTAGGTGTCTGTAGGTGCAGGTCTGTGGACTGGAAGTGCCAGAATTCTTTCTGGGAAATTCTTAGAGAGCTCTTGGAGAACTCTTGGCAAACACCAACCAACAAAGAAAACAAGTGTCAGATCCCTAGTTCTAACGATACCATGACTTTAGAGCTGGATTTCTATCAGTAGAGTGCAGAACCAATGTCTCAGATACCTCTGTTCACTCAAACAAGTACATACATGAATTCTATGCAACCAAGGCTGTCACCCAAATGAGGTCCCCATTTCATGTTGCAAGCACGCAACTGGTAAGCAATGCTATCTAGACAGAGGGGCATCCTTTAGGCAGGAAGTGAGAGACTGCAGGAGGCTAAAAATTCTATTTAAAAACATAAATGCAAAACACAGAGACACAGCTCAGTGAGTTAGTTCTCTGGCTGTAGAGCTAGAGGTTGGAAGTTTGTTGTGATTCCTAGGAAAAGAGCCAGCCTATGTAGCCTTCAGCAATCTGCAGAATCCAGGGAGAGGTAAACTGCATCTGAGTATTCACTACCTGGAAAACCCTAGAAAGGGTTGCCCTAAGTCAGAATTGATTTGATGGCACACAATTATTAATATTCCTAGATCAAATGAGATACTAGAGTCCAACTAATGGACTTTGCACTAACCTAATAGAAAAATGCATTTGTGAAAAGAAGAACACCAATTAATGTATTTAGCCCCAATATTAATATCTTAGGGTACAAAAAAATCATATTAAGCTGATTCTGACCAATGGGTCAGAATTAACCCTTTGGGTCAGAATCCCCAATGGGTCAGAATCAACCAATGGGTCGGAATCAACCAATGGGTCAGAATCAACCCTTTCCGGGGTATAGAGAACTGAGAAGTCTTTTCCTAGTCTCTTATTCTAGCGTGTGACACTGACACTGTGCAGCTCGCTCATAATAAGAAGCTGGGTCCTTGTTCTCCAAGGCACAAAGGGAAACTGAACTGCCAACCTTTGGCTCTGTAATCAGGCACCCAACTCCATCAGCTATCCAGCCAGCCTATTCTGTCAAACTGCAGGATGTAATCTGTTGATGTTTAAGTCCTAAAAATAAACTAGTTCATGCCTTTTCTCTCTTCGATTGGCAAATACTGTGTCTTAGCCATGGAAACAATTGCATCCCCATTGATGGTGGACCATGATTCATCTGATCACATTTCGATTGGCAAATACTTTGTCTTAGCCATGGAAAAGTTGCATCCCCATTTGTACTGATGATGGTGGACCATGATTCATCTGATCACACAGGACCTCTACTGAAGCCTAATACTGCAAGAAAGTCAAGCCACATCATGTTTATTCTGTGTACTCATTTCATAGAGAGGACTCTTGATTACCACACATATGCTTTATCTCGATCGGAGTTCATTGCTGTAGTTGCTAAAAAGCTAGGACTCAGAAATCCTTGTCAATCACTTGCAAATTACTGGAACAAACCAGGAGATCCAGCACTACCCTTCCGCCTACCCCTGAAATATGTGACTCAAGAAAAACCTCCTACTTTATTGACTAAATAGAAAGCCATTACTTTGTTCTTCAAGTTAACCATCATATCAATTTTGTCAGCCTCAAGCAGGGAAACATCAAGAACTAGTGCAGTGCCTTTCCCTCCCACACTCACAATGCAGTTGTTTTGTCTAAAAACTCCACACTGAAATATTTTGTTGTTTTGTCATGTTTTGCATTGCATGCTTCGTCAGATGCAAGCATGAGTTGCTCACACCCCTATTTGTCCGTGTACAGCCGGCCACCTTTACTACCCTTCCCTTAAAGCAATTCTGGCATGCCTTACACATACAACTCTTCTATCGGTAATTCGCACCCCCTGTCCGTGACCTTTCTGCTTCCCACAGATGAAGGTACACAGACGACAGGGAGAGAGAGAGCCAGACCTTTTTAATTTGATTAAGAATTCTTCCTACAAGGCGTTTCTGTATCAAAGCAGAGAGAGAGAGAGTTCAGCTATCAAGGAAACATGTCGGCAATTAGAGACGATTAGATCATCCTGATATATTTTGAGCAGGAAAGAAACACTCTCAAAACCAGATTACAGAACTGAATAGCTCTTGGAAATAGATTAGACTCTGAGCCATGAACTCCTAATCACACTTGCTCTTCGACATCGGGTGGGTAAAGCCACAGAGTGATCCATTCTCAGTTAGAGAAGCACCCTACTTTAAAGTAATGTTTGTTTTGGCAAGAACAATTCCCACAATTTACAAGGGCTTACTATGTTAAGAACACACTTTATTGTCACATTAATGTTTCTTGCACCCATCTACCATCGGACTAAAGGGACCAACAAAAATAAAATCTGTCTGCCAAAACCATATGTTGTCCTGTCTCCACAGCTAGACCTTAAACTGATGGACAAAGCAGGGTGGCAGCTGCTGGTGGCAGGGCAGTTCAATGGCAAGGGACTAAGGCATTGCTCTTCAGCCTCCCTCGGGCATCAGGGTTTCCAATTTCACAAAGGAAAGCTTCCACAACTCTGTGTCTGTGGGAGAAAAGAAAACATGCAACATGAGGCCTCCCTAATGCTGAACCGTCACTAGGAATCCAGTCAGGGAACAGTCTAGCACCACTTACTGCTGTCACAATTCCTACTCACTGTAGGTGGGAAATGACTATGAGAAGAGGTGAGGGTTTTCAAAATCCATGATAAATCTTCTAGTGACACTGATTTTCCAGAACTTCAAATTACATGGTGAGTGCTCACAAATAAGAAAACCCCTCCATATATCATAGCCAATTAGAAACTTTATGATGGGGGCATGGAGCTAAATCCCTCTTGAGGCACCATCACCTGGGTTGCACATGACTAGATGGGGCTACCTAGAAAGCTATTTGTCTCCTCATCCTTGTACACAGCTGAAGTAGATTATCTCTTCTAGTCTTTTGCACTACGGGCAGGATATGATCAGCAACTAACTGCACAGTGGAACTGCTCCACCGTTGCTCCAGTGATCTCTGGCTTGCAAGCCCAAGACGATCCCATTTAATCAGGGTTGGCATACAGACAAGGGGGTAATGAACATCACTTTGATTGATTAGCCAAACCCAAAAATATATATGTTAAGCCCCCACACACACACACACACACCCCGCTACAGAGACTGCTTTGCACAACTCTAGACAAGGATATGCCCTCATTTGAGATCTAGCCCTTTTGAACTGAATTCTGTCATCAGTCCTAGGAGGAAAGACTGAAAGAACTGGGCATATTTGCCTGGAGAAAAGACTGGGGGGAGATAGGAGAGTACTTTTCACGTACTTGAAAGATAGTCCTCTGGAGGAGGGGCAGGATCTGTTCTCGATCATCCCAGAGTGCAGGGCATGCAATAATGCATTCCAGCTACAGGAAGCCAGATTTAGTCTTAGTATTGGGGAAAACTTCTGAATTCTCAGAGCAGTACAACAATGGAACCAATGACCTCAGGAGGTAGTGAGTGCTCCAATGCTAGAGGCATTCAAGAGTAAATTGGACAACCATGTGTCAGATCTGCTTTGATTTGGATTCCAGCATTAAGAAGTGGGGTGGATTTGATGGCCTTATAGGCCCCTTCCAACTCAATTATTCAATCAGCCATGACACTGTGTCAAAATTGTTTCTTAAACTTAAAAAAAAGAATCTCATTCTTCACGTACACCAGGCTGTATACTGGAAATAAGATAAGTCTTGGGGGTGGGAGGCGAATTCAGATAAGCCTAACAAAATCTGACTTTTAATTTACCCAGTGTTTAAATGGTGTCCTCTAAACTTCCCACAGCTATTGACAGCCATTCAGTGAATGACTAATGTAAAGTGTTCCACTTCATTTACATTTATAATTAATCAAAACTATTAAAGCCATAAATCAAAGCCTGACAGTGTAGTTCAGATTATGATTAATTGCCCCAAGGTTCATAACTGCCAAAGAAAGAAAATATATCTGAGATAGAACAGCCAATATGGAGATTTCAGTTCCATGATCACAGATGTATTAAAAAAAAACTAGCAGTCGCACCTCACTTATGCTAGAAGAGAAGTTCTCCTATTAGCCAAGATCCGTCAGACCCAGAGCCCTAATTCTAGGGGCCAATTATAATAATTAGGAATTCTTAAGAAATTAATCTCTTTTGGATTCTGACTCAGATTTGCATGTTCGGGATGCAAATGATGATCTATTTTATGATATGGTTCCCAGGGCAGAAAACAGTAGAGCAGAATTATTTTATTTGCCTCGCTTGTCCTCAAATGCCAGCACAAGGAACCACAAAACTGTTATTCCTCACTCTGCGAAAGGGAGAGATATTTTTGTCACACTCTCTAAAGGGGAAGAGCATTTACAGGAAATCACACAATTAGACATTTAATGAATGCACCTTGAACTTGATGGATCAGAAGCACCTGCTTTTTCTGTTTTTTGTCTCATCCTCTCCCCAGTCAATCAGTCAGTTCTTCTGAGCCTGCCCTGCACACATACACACATTCAGGAGTCCTTGAAATAACTGAAATAACCCATGAGAACTGTTTATCACTGTTTATAAACAGTGAGAACTGAGCCAAAACAAACCAATTTTCAAAAGAGAAAAATGTAAAGTTATACATCACAGCTGGCAAAAG